AGCTGGGACAAGCACAGAGATGTCAGTGTGATGTCTGAAAAACATCAACAGGAGATAGAAGGTGCTCAACAGTCCCCACCAGAAGTTGTGTCATGAGAATGGGCACAAGAGGTTTTGGCAGAACATTAATGGTGCCAAGACAGAGCTGAAGTCCCAGAGTGGCTGCAGAAAACAGGGCTCCACTGGGAACTCCATCTCTGTATGTGCTGTATGTGTCACGCACACAATCCTACAATTGCATGGATGGAAGTGTGCTGTAAAAGGGGAGAAGGGGTTTTCAAACATTTCCCTCCACCCAAAGGGGAGCATGAACTGGGTCACCCTTGACTGTGGGCTGCCCAGGGCTGGAGGCAAGTCAGCTGTGTGGGAGAGCACATGATCTGGGCAGCCATGTGGAGCAAATGCAGTGAGAGAGACTGAAAAACTTCAGCCCTGGTCCAGCACCGTGTGACCCTTAGGCCGACCTCAAAATCAGATGGACTAGGCATATTTTGTCCCGCTGCCTCATTCTCATACTCCCCTCTGCCTCCTTTGCCCCGCCAGCTGCCAACCTCTGTGACCTTAACTGCCTAGCAGTGGGGCACAATTTTTACTACACCTTTGGCCGAGTCTTGGACGGAACCCCCTGCAGCCCAGCTTTGCCAGATCTCTGCATCAGTGGCCGGTGCTTGGTGAGTCCTCTTGCCTTTTGAAGCATGCCTCCCCGCTTTCGATCAATGGAAGAACGGGTGTCGCCAACCCTCCCAGAGTCTTTGGACCAGACCCTCCCCCGAATTAGACCCTAATTCTTGAAACAGAGCAGGATAAAAACACAGACTCTACACAAGCAAAGCGCGTTACAAGCCTACACGGCGCTGCAGCAACATCGGCCTTGTTGAACGAGCGGCTGAAGGAAAGCCGCCACTATTGGGTTTTATGGGGGAAGGAGGGCCGCTCCTTTCTCCGGGGAGGGTCTTCCCTGCCAAGCGAGAAGTCCTGCCCCACCTCAGTCCCTCCCTGTGTAGCTCTAGCGCTGCAGAGATGCAGAGCAGCGCTGACACCCTGAGCGGCAGTGAACGTCCTCCACCCCCCCAAGAAGCGGAGCCTCTTCTGGGCACCTCTAATTCCTGCCCCTCTGTCCAATTCCTTAGAGAGCCGGTTGTGATGGAATCCTCGGCTCCGATGCGCTGGCCGACGCCTGCGGCGTTTGTGCGGGCAGGAATGAGTCCTGCATCTTCGTCCAGGAAGCCTTCTGGGCGGCGTTTCCCACCTCCGGTGATTGAATGCCCTGACGTTCTCTTCCTCCATGGGTGAAGCTTTGGCTTTTGACGTTCGTCGCCCCTCCCCGCCTTGCTTCTCCTTTCTTCCTACCCCGCTGCTTCTCTGCTGACGGCTGAGCATGCACGTGCAAGGGGGGAGCCCAGGCACTAGGTCAGGATCGCTCCTTGGGCACATCTGCCTACCTGGAGAGAAACGTGCCACAGCTGGGCAGCGGTGGTTGGAGCCTTCCCCGCCTGCCAACAGACTTCCCCAAAACATTTGCATAGCTGCTTTTGGAAACAAGAGGTTTGCTCTTGATCCACTGGGGTGGGGCATCCACAGGGGGGTGCTCAGTGACCTAAAAATGGTGGTCATGGCCGGGCGAAGACCCACCCCATTTTATGGGCCTGCAGTCCATGCAATACGGTTTAAAAGGGCACGGCCTTGATTGCCCAGTCACATCCACCATCTTAGCATCATTGACCTCCCCTGCAGACACCCCCGGCTGGGGCTATTCCTGAAGGCGATTTTTGCCCATTTGCCCCTTGGCACGACTGGCAGGATGAATTCCAGCCCATAGGCAAGGCCTCCCCTCCGTGAGGCTTGCTGGCTGAGCACCTTTGCGCTTTTCTTTTAACAAGCTGAAGCATTTCATGATTGGCAGCAGGGCACGCTGCCCTCTGCAGTCCCTTCTGCTCCCTGACACACCCTGCCCACTGGGGGGGCACTAAACAAACCTTGGCAGGCACCACAGTTTCAGAGTTGTTTGCATGCTAGATTAAAACAAAAATACTCCTAAGTAATGGACAGAAGCCTCTGGGCCTGCCTCAGAAGACTGTGGCCTGGAGCCCCAAAGCACTAAATAAATGGTTAAGAGTGTGAATAATGTATGAAAGACAGAATAGATGTATTGTGAGTCCGTGAAATTTGCAGGAAGGGCAAGTATGGAATCAATCTGAACAAAGCGGATCCAGTCGCATCTCCCCCATGCCAACACACGCACCATGGCACCACCAGGCAAATGACACACTTGCACAGCTGCTGATGTCAGACCCAAGTACATAAGTCCCATTATTTGTGCAATGGCTCATGATATCTGTGTTCTGTTGTCATTGTGCCCTCTTGTCCCATCCCACCCCCTGCACACTTCTGGTCCAATCTCATAGAGTGGAGCTGACAAATGCACACCAGGAACTAAAGGGCTACTTTTGAATGAGGGGGCTAAAGTGTACGCCAGCAAGTATGAAGTGGGACGTTGGGGGTCTGTGCCTGGAAGCAGGAAGCCCTCGCTGGTGAGAATGGCGGGTCATGCTCTAGTGAACTGTGGTAATGGAAGAACCAAGGATGCCCTTTTGGAAATTGGTGCAATATTCTGAATGAAGGCAAAGGGTGGGCGGGGGAGATGCCCTTGTCTCCTTTGGTGAAGGGAGGAGGTGAAGGAGACAAGAAGTATGGAAAACCTTGAGGGAATCATGAGAAAGGTGCCTGTGGAGCCAAACATTGCTTTCTTTCAAAGACTGTATGCGAATTACATATCTGTACACGTGGCAAAGGCCTGGCTCTAAATCTCAAGCATGCTTGATTAGATCATTTAGGGTGGAAGCTTAAGAGAGGGTGCAAAGGTGGTGAGAGATTCCAGAGCAGGGCAGACCCTGTTTCTGGCCATGCCAAGAGTGGAGCTGGGGGAGAGCAGGAAGAAAAGAGAGTGGAAGTTGACTGACTGCAGGAAGAGAGAGTGCCAGCCTTAGATCAATATTTCAACAGAAGTAGCTGGAAAATGGGCAGAGGGAAACCAGCCCTTTTGCAGAGCCACCTTCATGGACATTCCTCCAGTCCTTGAATTGGTAGGAAAACATGCCAGCATTGTTTGCACCGCCCTGATGGCCAAGTCTAATCCTCCTTTGAGGGTTGCGAGTGGTCCTGTCCTTGCAGCTCTCCTGTGGAACAATTTAAGGGCAGCACCTGACAGACTCCCCGGCTTTCTTTCAACGCCAGCAGCCAGCTGGAAAAGCCACCACACCTTAAAGGTGCCAGGGCAGGCTCAGGTGAATGTGGAGCGGGGCCTGGCTTTCCCCACTCTCCACAGAGCCCAAAGGCGCTCTGCTCAGCACCGGCAACGCAGTTTCCGAACACAGAACTGCCGATCTTCCGGAAGACTCTGCTGACCCCAGCCAGGACAGTGGAGTAGCAGTATGTGGTGGGGGGAAGAGCTTCTGGAGCCCATTGAGAGAGCTCTCTCCCGCTTCATTCTCCTGACCCAGCTGGGCTCTGCTGGTCAGAGGTTTCCCAGTCTTCCTGACCCCATCCCAGTAGGGGAAACAGCAGAAGCCTTGTCAATTTCACCCCCAATGCCCCAAGTGAATAAATGCTGCCAGGCAAGAGCAATGCTGCCACAAAAGACCACAGTTGGCAGCACCCAGTAGTAGTCAGTGGAGATGCAAAATGCTGGTAGAGTAGGCAAAACGGGGCCGCCTCCTGCCTAAATGAATGAAACCTATGCAACAAACCCCCCACCCTCATCGACAGAAACCCCTGAAAACCTCTAACACGGTGTTTCTGGCAGAACCAGCCTTTCGTCTTCCCTGGCTCAGCGTGGTTCAGCCTTTCAAGAGGACCACCGAACGCGTGTTCAACGAGTCTAGCGGTCCTCCGGGAGGACTTGTGAGGGTTGTGTCAGAACACGGAAAATCCGGCCGTGGCGCAGGACAAACTGATGGAGCCAGGATGAGACACAGGGGGCCTTACGATGCCAGGCCCTCAAGGAACTGTTAGTGGGACACCTTCATGTCGCCGTTACTGGCACGCGAGGATGGGCTAGCGTGCCACAGAAGCAGCTGGAGTTACGCTGATGGGGGGTCGGAAAAAGACCCGGGCGGAGGGTGCTGTCAGGAACACCTCAAAGTGAATCGGAAGCAGGGAGAAGGGGTGCCGAAGGAGCGCGTGTGATGAAAACAAGGGAGGGTCAAACCGAAAAATGGAAAAAAAGTGGAAACAGGAGAGTGTGCAAGGATAGAAAGGTGCACTGAACAACATTTGCATAAGCTAATTTGGCTGCCTTTGCTGTCCAGAAACCATCCAAAAGCACCATAAATGGCCGTTTGTTGCATTTAAGCCACATGCTCTTTCGGTGCAGAGGAAGGGAAATGTGGGGAAGTCCCACGAAGCAGACCCAGGGCTGCCAAGGAAGCCCAGGGTGGAGGCCCTGAGTCCATTGAAAGCAGGCGGGTGGGGGGG